AGCCCTTCTCTGGGGGAGGGGAAGTGTTTGGCCCTTATCCTCCCCACCAAAAATGCCTCAGGGACTGCCAAAATTATTACTCTGAAAGTAATCTACTGAAAGAACCGTCTCTTGGGCAGCTTTGGGACTGCATCTCTCATTCCCCCTTATGCTCCAGAAGCGACCTCTCACGTATCAGAAACACAAACAGACACAAGAAACATACACAGCCCGACCACAAAGAAGCATACCGATACGTATGTTGTATTTTTTTGGAGGGCAGGATAAGTAAACACAGGAAGTCCAGATGGTGTAGTGCTTAGAGCACTGGATAGTTCCCCCAACATAGGGTTGCCAACTGTCTGTTGAAAAATTCCTGGAGGTTTGGGGGTGGAGCCAGGAGAGGGACCTCAGCAGGGTATAGTGTCACAGAGTCCACCCTCCAAAGCAGCCATTTTCTTCAGAGGAACTGATCTCTCTAATCTGGAAATTGGTTGTAATTTTGGGAGCTCTCCAGGCCCCACCTGAAGGGTGGCAACCCTACCTCCACACCATGAAACTCAATGAGTGACCCTGGGCAAGACAGTCTATCACAGCCTGACCTACCACACAAGACTGGGGTGGGGATTCAACTAGGGAGAGGAGAATCACGTATAGCACTCTGATCTCCTAATCTCCCTTCATGTAACCTTCCCAACAACCCTTTGAGGTAGGCAAAATTGAACATGACTAGCCCAATATCAACTAGGGGGCCTCCTTGGCTGACTCGGGATTTCTGCCCAGGTCTCTTCAGTTGTTCTAGGAGGAGAAGGAGGAGATGATTTATATCCCGCCCTTCACTACTGGAGGGAGTCTCAGAGCATCTTACAATCTCCTTTCCCTTCCCTTCCCCTCCCCACAACAGACACCCTGTGAGCAGTGTTCCCTCTAAGCTGAGTTAGTGTGAGCTAGCTCACAGTTCTTTAGCCTCCAGCTCACACATTTCTGTCTTAGCTCAGGAAGGAGGGATCCAGAGCCAACTAATTTGTGCTGTAGCCAAATCACCTGCTCACAATTTTAATGCCAGTAGCTCACAAAGTAGAATTTTTGCTCACAAGACCCCACAGCTTAGAGGGAGCATTGCCTGTGAGATAGGTGGGGCTGAGAGAGCTCTCTCGAGAACTGTCCTTGAGAGAACAGCTCTGAAAGAACTTATGACTAACTCAAAGTCACACCAGCAGCTGCATGTGGAGGAGTGGGGAATCAAACCTGGTTCTCCCAGATAAGAGTCCTAACCACTACACCAAACTGGCTCTCTTTAATCGTTTTACCACATTAGTGGAAATCACTCAATTAAATGTTCACCAGTGCCCCCATTACGTGGAAGAGAGAATATTGTTTTCTAATACCTGTATAAGGGGAGACATTGCATGTTTCAAAAATTCTCCCTCGCAGTATAACGGGAATAACCATTAATTGCAAATGGAATGCCAATGGACAGTTACACTCTCCTGCTCTCTACCAATGAACTACTTCTTCTCTACCAATGAACTACATCTCAATCCACATACAAAATGGCCAGTGGCTCTTTATTCCCTCCTGAGTTTAGCACTCTCAGGGTGCGTTCAGACGGGGCATTTACAACGGTATAGGTGCCGGTTGGAATCAGTGTACTTACCGGTGTTCACACGTAGAACATCTGCCTTCCGTCCCTAACCGTTGCAAAGAGCTTTAAGCCATTGTATTCTGCCACTAGGTCCCCAAGTGGTGGTATCCTGAGTGCAACAGTTGTAACTGCTTTACCCCCCCCCCCCTCTGATCACTCTCCACTGTTGTAGAGCAACTTCGTTTTGGAAGCCTGAGGCTTCCGATTTTCGCCCACCATTTTTTTTTTTGTTAGGTCGGCGATATGCGCTTGGGCGAAGCTTCACCCCGGCGTTTGTTTTTTAAAAAAGAAAAGGTCCTTAGTTTAAGGTTTTAGAGGAGTCCGGGACCTCAGGGAGGCCAGTTTGCTCTTTAAACTTTAAAGGTAAGTCCTCTTTTCAGGGCATGCTTTTCTGGACGGGGTGTTTTGCGCATGCGCGAAAATCGCCATTCTGTGGATGGCTGCCTATGCACATGCGCAAACTGAGTTAAAAAAAACAACAACAAACCGCCGATGCCCGCTGTGTGTGAACAGGCATACAGTGATGGGCTCCGCAGACAGGAGGTAAGTGTGATCGCGTTTCAGCCGGCACAAACTGCTTATGCCGGCTGAAACGCCCCATCTGAACGCACCCTCAATCAGTTACACATATCAAATACCTTGCACCTTTTGCCAGTCCTTTTGCCAGACTGGAGCATGGGGGGGGGGGAGTGACATCTTCAGCATTTGCTTGATAGTCACAGATGAGAGAGACAGAATATATCATGCACTGAATTTCCAGCAATTACTGAACACTGCCACTGGCCAGTACTCTCTACAGGTAGAGACCACTGACAGTCTATCCCGTGCAGTCTCTACGGTGTAAATTCTCTGTTATTTTGCATTAGAAATCAGAGTTGTAAACCAGTTCAATTCAGCAAGGAAGTTTCAATAACAACAGAGAAGGGACTCTATGCTCCCCCCCCCCACTGGAAAACAGACAGGAAATGCCTGGCAAAAGGTCTCAGGGACAATGCAGACTGATTTTAACTTCCAGTATCAAATGGAACCAGCTTAACTCCCAAGCAGCAGACGCCAGGCAAAACAGGCATCCACCACAAATGCAGGAGAACCATCACTGCCTCCTACCAGCCTCTCAGCCCTACCCACCGACTGCACCTGTCTTTTCAGTTTGTTACCCAAAGTTCAGGGCTATGCATCACCTTGGTCTTCTTCTTAGCTTTGGGATGCTTGGGAGAATATGTTTTTTGCCTAGGAACCGCCGTGGGATTTATTCCTTGCTCTTAATCCAGCAAAATCAGACCGATGAAATGAAAATTGTGGCAGCAAGAGTTTTCTTAAAGATGACAACCTATCCGGCACAGAGGGGTCTTATGTGTAAGGATCCCATGTCCCTCTGTTTTGCTGTGGAGTGAGGAATGGGGTGGGGTAAGCCATGGGATTCTTTGGTCCTCAGCCTAGGGAAGAGGAGTCACTTGAACCCAGTACCTTATCCTCTTGCAGTCGGGAGTTCCCATTCTGGCTAGAGACAGCCAACAAGTCCTTTTCCCTCTGCCTTTAATCTGTGGGTTATGTGAAAGATGGTACATTTTTTTAACCAAAATGTGAAGGATGGGTGGTAGAAATTTTAATATATATAAAATGGTTTGTATCCCACAGATGATTTGGCTGGATGTAACTCTCTCTTAACCACTTGAGCTGCGGTGGCTCAAGTGGTTAAGATGCTGAACTGCAGGCTGTGGAAGGTCGGTAGTTCAGCAGTTCGGGGCCCGAGTGTGCCGCATGATGGAGTGAGCTCCCATCTCTAGTTCCAGCTCCTGCCAACCTAGCAGTTCGAAAGCAAGAAATTGCAAGTAGATAAATAGGTACCACTTCGGTGGGAAGGTAACAGCGTTCCATGCACCTTGGTGTTTAGTCATGCCGGCCACATGACCACGGAAACGTCTTCGGACAGCGCTGGCTCTTCGGCTTGGAAACGGAGACGAGCACCACAACCCTAGAGTCGGATTCGACTGGCTTTCGAGCAAGGGAACCTTTACCTTTACCTTTTAAACTCTCTCTAGAAGCGCAAAGGACTAAACTGAGGCTATCGTACTTTGGTCTCATTATGAGAAGACAAGAGACACTGGAAAAGACAATCATGCCAGGAAAAGTGGAAGGCAGCAGGAAAAGAGGAAGACCCAACATGAGATGGATGGACTCAATCAAGGAAGCCACAGGGGCCCTCCCTTTGCAAGACCTGAGTGAGGCTGCTAACAATAGGTCATTTGGGAGGTCACTAATTCATAGGGTCACCATAAGTTGGAAGTGACTGGAGGGCACTTCACATGCACACACACAAAACGGGGCGTGTGATTTCTGCTGATTCCCTTTTCCTGCTGCAGACGTCTGACTTCCTCTTCATGACATTACTGGGGGGGGTGTTCCCTGACCCCCCCGACTTTGAGGGGACATTCCGGGCAGCTGCAGGAGCGGGGAGGCGAGGAAGCCATGCCCTGTGGACAGAAGTCCGTTCCATCGATGGAAGACACCGGTGGATCCACTCCAATCAACCAAGTAAGTCGTATTTCCCGTGACTTGGGAGAGAAAGGTGGCTCATCCCCCCCATCCTTCACACTGTGGGGGCAAAACTGAGCTAATGTCCGCTCGCTGTCTCATTCTTGCTGACAAAGGGTATAAGGCCTATACATCTCTGCACTCTCCGTAGGCAGTTAATATACCACTTTCAGAGTTTCTCTACCAAATCCAGGGTGCATGCCTTTGTAATGTGACTCAACCCTTTTCACCACACTGCCCTTCACAGTTTCCAATCCGCGTCTGCTCTACTCATCTGTAGATAGTAAGCCACTGCTCGCAAAGAGGTCTTCCTCTTGATTACGGCACTGGCTAGGGATAAGAGGAACGGTTCCCCATTTGTTCAATACTTAAATTGGGGGGGGGGTTCCATTCCCAGCCCATCTCCATTTTGCAATGGCCCCCTTAGATATTTCTTTTAGCAAGCTGCCCAGGTAACAGAAGGAGGAAGAAAGAATGTGGCCTGCGTATCTTTATTCAAGGGCAGCAATCAGAAGTTGGGGTTTCTGTATTTAATTTTAAAACCCCCCCCCCCCCCCCCCCATTATTTGGGAATTGCATTTGGTTCCAATCTCTTATTCCCTCTGTCTTTGGTCGCCTTGGGAAGGTAGATTTTCCCCATTTTTTTCTCTCTCTGCACAAACAAGCTTCCCGTTCAGGACATTTACAATATTTGAAAAAAGACCTAAGAGAAGAAAGAGAGGCAGGGAGAGTGTGGCCTAGGCATAAAACTGGGAAGCAAAGTACAGATCCGGAGTCTGGAATATGCCAAGATCCAGCCTGCAAGGCAGCCTCCCCCCACCCCGTGCCCTCCTCTCCTTACCTTTGTTGTCGAATTCAATGGGCACACAGCTGACACTGCCCAGATGCCAGGGGCAGTAGTAGACGGAGCCTCCTTCTGTGACTTCCAGCTGATTCGTTTCGGCTTTCGGTGCCCCAACCAGGACGCTGACACTGCAGGGAAGGACAGAGATGAGATCTTGCAGAAGGTACAAGCCACAGAATCATACTAAGCCAGGGTTGCCATCTCCTCAGTGGGGTCAGGGGATCAGTCGATTTCAGGGGCCTCGATCTGCCGCCGGTCAGTTGGCCAGCGCAGAAAGCCACACCCCCAAACAGCGGCGTAAATGTGACATCATCACGCTGGGGGCTGTGACCAGTGTTCCCTCTAAGCTGAGTTAGTGTGAGCTAGCATTCGGAGGGGGGGACTCTATTGCGCTGCACATGCGGCAGAAAAATCCCGAGAAGCCAGGAGCCCCGTGCCACAGGTAAGAAGAGACCTGGCAACCCTACACTAAGCAAAGCTAAGCACCTTGGGCCTTCTCTCGGGTTTCCGCTCGATCTTGACAAATAAACAGGGCTGTACTGCAATTAAATGGTCAGTAAGTTGTAGAGATGTAAAATTTCCAGAAATTTTGAAGCTCGGAAAAAAACCCGTTTTCCCCCCATTTCTTTTGTCTTTTCTAGATTAAAAGTCATTCTGTTACTTTTGGAACATAAAATATGACTATGGACATTTTTACTTGGCATGAAATTATCACAACTAGCATATTTAAAAATATAGTGTATCCAAACAATTATTACAAACAGAATACCCACCCACATGCAAAAACAAAACTGAAACCTTTTTATTTTCTTTTGACAATAGCACCTCCTAAAGGAAGAAATGCATCTTGTTCTTGCATTGGAGAGTTCAGTTTGTAACCTAGGACTTGCTTGTCCGCAGTGCAGAGAAATTAGATCAATCTGATACCATATATATATATTTTAGAAATGATTTGGAAAATATTTGAACACCTTGTCTTAAAATATTTTATTCATCACGTTAAAATAAAACGTTCCATAATCATTTTTTTTCTTTTCTTTTCTTTTTTCAATTTTTCCAATTTTTTGGAAAAAAACAAAAAAGCTTCAAAAAAAAAAAGGACAAAAAAAAAGCGGGGGGGGGGGAACGTTCCCCCCCCCCCCGAATTTTTCCGTTTTTTTCCCGGGCCTTCACATCTCTAGTAAGTTGCCCTGCTAAAGGGATAGAGACTGTGACCTATACTCCTGTATGGCTCCCTATCACTGTAAGCATGTTCCAGACTAGGTAGTTTCTACACCACTGAATGTATCACGTTTTAAAAGCTCATGCTTTGTTTCAGCTCTGTCTTGAGATTTCTGTTTTCAGACTTCTGTAGTCCAAACCCTACTGTATTGTTAAATGGATGTCCCGTCCTGTCGATTGTACTCAACTTACACTATGTAATCCTCCTTGAGTCTCGGCGAGAAAGGCGGACTATACATGAACAAGTAATAATAAAGGCTTCCAAGCATGCTGATGAAAAGGACACAACAACTGGACCCACCTACGAAACCGGATTCGACTGTACAGAGGCCTGTACAGACTGCACTTTGAACACTCGAGTGTAAACCTTCCTTGCAAATAGAAAAGGAGCACGGAAGGGGGAGGGGGAGGGTTTTAGCAGAGCCCTCTGCCTGCTATGCTGGTTTGCAGAGACGTTTCCCACAGGGAGAAATGCAAAAATGTGATACCCAGCCAGAGGCACCCCTTGGTCATAGGTTTGCCAGCTCCAGGGTGGGAAACTCCTGGAGATTTTAGGGTACAGCCTGGGGAGGACAGGGACCTCAGTGGGGTCCGATGCCACCCTCCAAAGCAGCCATTTCCTCCAGGGGAACTGATCTCTGTAGTCTGGAGACGAGCTGCAATTCCAGGGGATCCCCAGGCCCCACCTGGAGGCTGGCATCCCTATTCCCAGCCTCATAGCGTGAAGTGATACAATTGATTCTACCCAGGGCTATTTTTGGGCGGGAACGCACAGGAATGGAGTTCCGGCTAGCTTCAGAGCTGGCCACGGCCACTACAGCCAAAACCTCTGCGTGTGCCTGGCTACGGAGGGAAGACCTGGAGAGTGACACACACACACACCCCCGGCAACTCCAAGGCGGGTGGGCCAGGGGGCCCCCTGGAAGGATCGGGGAGGCATTTAAATACCTCCCCATGCCTTCCCTGGCCTGTCCAAGGGCCAGCTTGCCCAGGCTCCCTGCAGCCGCGGGGTACCCAAGCAAGCCAAGGGAAGGCATAGGGTGTGGCCCAACAGACCGAGCTGTTCCAGCAAGCGTTTTAATAGCTCAGACCACACTGACTGTTCTAGCACTTGATAACAGATGCCCGCCACGTCTTAAATTTTAATTTTTAATAAGCCATAATTGGATAATTTATTGATGGTAATTGTTTTAGACTGGATATCGTATTAATTGTTATACTGGTTTTTAAACTATTGTAAGCCGCCCAGGCAGGAGGGCGGGGTAAAAGTCAAATAAATAAATAAATAGTTTCTGCTGTTGGGTGTGGCCTATTATGCTAATGAGTTCCTGTTGGGCTTTTTCTATAAAAGAAGCCCTGATTCTACCGACTCAGAGCTATACCAGCTCGTTCCCACTTTATTTCTACTGCATGAGTAGACTGGGGTCTGGATTGAAGCCTAAATGGTAACTGTATTGGACAGAGGAAAACGAACCCACTTATAAGAGATTTATGCAGCGCAACAGTGGTAGAGTCAGTCTATCCCACTGTGTTTAGAGAGTAGGTTCTCATGGGTGAAGTTTGGTAGACAAGAGAGACACAAGGGGGACTATAGCGATTATGACTGTCTTTACATACTGCAATTTTTCAGGAGCATAGAAATCAGACTGCCCTTCATGACTAGCTTTTCTATGGATGAGAGACAACCAAAAAATATGACGGGTCGCTATGCAGGGGAAGGCAATGGAAAACCACCTCTGAACATCTTCTGCCTTGAAACCCCACTGGGTCGCCATGAGAAGGCCACGACTTGATAGCCAAAAAAAGAAAGACAAAGGCTCCAGAGCAGTGTTCCCTCTAAGCTGAGCTAGTGTGAGCTAGCTCACAGTTTTTTAGCCTCCGGCTCACACACTTTTGTCTTCGCTCAGGAAGGAGGGCTCCAGAGCAAACTAATTTATGCAGTAGCCAAATCGCTCGCTCACAACTTTAATGCCAGTAGCTCAAAAAGTGGAATTTTTGCTCACAAGACTCCACAGCTTAGAGGGAGCACTGCTCCAAAGGTATGTTTCAAAGTATCTGTGCAATGCTTACGGAAACATCAGAAAGGCAGCTGGATGAGATTTCTATTGGTATGTATTGCAGTGTCCTGCCTAACTCTTTATCCCTCCCCGTGACTACTAAAACCAA